CCGCAGGGTGGTAAGCGCAAACCCCGCCCCGCCACCGCAGTTTCCTTATAAATAAATGGCGCCACGCTCATTTTTCTCTTATACTTGTCACCCGACCAGTCGCAGCATTCGAAATGGCACCACCAAAGCCGTCCGCCAAGGGATCGAAGAAGTCAGCCAAGACCGTCGCGAAGCCAAAGGATGGAAAGAAGAGGAAGCACGCCCGCAAGGAGTCGTACTCTGTCTACATCTACCGTGTTCTCAAGCAAGTTCATCCGGATACTGGAGTTTCCTCGAAAGCCATGTCCATCATGAACTCGTTCGTCAACGACGTCTTCGAACGCATCGCCGGAGAGGCCTCTCGTCTTGCTCACTACAACAAACGCTCAACCATCTCGTCTCGCGAAATTCAGACGGCCGTCCGTTTGATTCTTCCAGGAGAGTTGGCCAAGCACGCCGTTTCTGAAGGAACCAAGGCTGTCACCAAGTACACTTCCAGCAAGTAAGCTCCTCGAGCTGAAAGCTAAACCCCACCGAACCCAACGGCCCTCTTTAGGGCCACAAATCAATAATCCTAAAATTTTTCTCGAATAAATTTATGATTTTTCTATTTTTTCCCCTTTTCAGCTTTCAGATTCAAAATGAGAAGACTTCAAACGTCTCGAACATCGTCATTCTTCAATCAACTTCCAGAGAAAAACAAAACATCTTCTCTGCTCTTCGGCCACATGGATACTCAGGAAAAAAAGAAATATCCACTCTCTTCTCAAATCAAAAAACGTCGAAGCACCAGTTTATTTCAAAATCAAATCATCCGAACGAATTAGCGCGGACATTTTTGGATCTGTTATGCCATATGAAAGAGTGAAAAGCACGTTGACAAGAAGTAAAATGAAATGTGGCCAGAAAACCATCGCTTCTTTCGATATCAGCATCATCGGAACAGTCTAAAGCGGGTCTATCAATGTTCGGCGTTCCGATTTCGTAGTAAATTAGTAGTAACAATAGAAAAATTCGAAAATTCTAGAAGACTGATGTAAAATTGAGCGTGAAGCAGCGATACAAGTGGTAAATATGAACAAATTACGCTGAAAAAGTCAATTTTCAGCGATAAATTTGCATTTCCAGCAGGCCACGTCATCATTTCGATCGACAACTTTTCGGTGGAAGTTTATTCAGAATCGATACGTTCTTCTATCATAATAAGACTGAGTTCAACCAACAAAAAATGAGATATGAGCTGTGCTGATTTTAACTTTTTTCCTAGACACACCAGGAAAATGACTATGCAGAATTAATGTTCACGTCCAGATTTGGGACACTTCTGATTCATAATACCGCTCTTCAGATTTCCGATCGGGGCTGTGCGAAAAATTTTCGTAAAAAAATTTTTTTTCAGTTTTTTCGGTCATTCTCCGAAAAAATTTTCGGCAAAAAACAGAAAAAAAAATCGAAAAAACATTTTTTCGTTGAAAACGGTTTTTTGGTTGTATATTTTTATGGTTATATCCATTTTTCCTAAAGAACAACCGAAAAATTCTGAAAATTTTTTATATTTTTTTTTCGGTCCGAAACTTTCGAAAAAAAAGTTTTTTCGATTTTTTCGGAATTTTTTTTTGCACCGCCCTGTTTCCGATCATCCCATAAACTTCACAGATATGCATCTCCATACTTACTATGGCCAAAAATAGTTTCGAACAGATTGATTTTCACAAGAATTTGCTCTCTGACTATGGAATTTCGACGCAAGTTTTCACGAGTATTCGGTCTTCCTTCTCTTGAATTTGTCTTCGATTCCGATCTGAAAAAAGAAATTAGCCGAAAAAAAAAATTATTTATTCACAACAAAAAATGATTTTGGATTATAAGGATATTTGTGGCCCTAAAGAGGGCCGTTGGGTTCGGTTGGTTTGGTTGCAGGAAGCGAAGGAAATTATCCTCCGAATCCGTACAGAGTTCTTCCTTGGCGTTTCAAAGCGTAGACAACGTCCATGGTGGTGACAGTCTTTCTTTTGGCGTGCTCGCAGTAGGTGACGGCGTCACGGATGACGTTCTCGAGGAAAACCCTGAGAACTCCACGGGTTTCTTCGTAGACGAGGTTTGAAATGCGTTTGACTCCTCCTCTTCTGGCGAGACGGCGGATGGCTGGCTTGGTGATTCCTTGGATGTTGTCCTTAAGGACGAGACGATGACGTTTTTTTGGTCCTTGAAGTCCTTTTCCTCGGCCTTTTCCTCCCTTTCCACGTCCGGACATTGTTGTTCGATTGATTGGTTGAAGTTTCACGAGTGAAATGAGCTTTTTCCGAAAGTTCTCCGCCTTTTATAGCAGCTGCGGTGGCGAGGAGGCGGAGTTTGCAATATTTAAATACTATTTTACCACCCTGTTAGGACACCGAATTCCCATGGTTTCAAATCTGGAAAAATTGAAGCAAGTTCCGCTAGCTTCAATCTGAAATTCCTGCAAGTTGCGCTAGTTTCACTTGAAGGAGTTGAAACTCCTGTAACTAAGAATTGTAGAAATGTGTGTTCATAGTACCTGTGTACCAAAAACGTTATAGTATACCAGAACCAACTATACCAGGAGAAACTTTTGCTCTGATATACCCCCAATTTCGAGCACAGCCTTGACCAAGCTCTAAATTCCATTCCTCTGTCTGTCTGTCCAGCACTCATCACTGAAAACTTTTGTCCCCCTGAATCGTTTGGTATCATACTTGGCACATTCCATGAAGTTTAGTGCAAAGATTACTGTAGGAGTACGGTAGCTACAGTGACCCCATTTTTTGAAAACGTGTTCGGAATGAACTTAATCATCTAATTTTTGCATGTAGTGTCTACGGGACCCCAATAGCACAGAAACAAAAAGTGGTGAAGATTACGGTAGGATTAAGGTAGTTACAGTATGACAATTAATTTGGCGGGACTTTGAAAATTCAAAATTTTGGCGGGAGTTCAAAAATTCAAAAATTTCGGCGGGAATTTAAGTTTGAAAAAGTTGGTGGGACTTTGAAAATTCAAAAATTTTGGCGGGAATTCAAATTTTCAAACTTTTCGGCGTTAATTCAAATTTCTGGAATTTTGGCGGTAATTTGAATTTTCAAAGTTTCAGGCAGAAATTCAAATGTTAACAATGTTTCACTTTAGAAGAACACTACCACTTTGACCGATTTTTCCCACTTTTTCCCAGCTGAGTCAGATGCTCTTGGTTAAGATGGTCGCACAAGCAGTCATATAGAACCTAAGGAAGTGAGTGGAATTTTGTTGGAAGTTTCCATAACTTCTATCTATTCTGTGGGACCTGGTTACCAGTTTTGTACAGGCTCCATTGGAAAATTCAGAGTGGTACGTACATCGATGTTTCTACTCGTCATCATCCGTCAGTCGTCTTTTGGTATGTGAAAATTGTCCTGGAAGAAGATTGTAGAAGAACATTTTTTCCCTAAAAATCCGGTACCCGGATTTCAGATAGAATTTTTCCTAAAATCCGGTACCCTGGTTTCAGAGCCTGTGTCCCGACAGGGTGGTAAACGAGTATTCAAATACTGCAAGCCCCGCCTCCTCGCCACCGCAGCTGCTATAAAAGGCGGGAGAATTTCGGAAAAAGCTCATTTCACTTGCGAATCTTCAACAAATCGATCGAACAACAATGTCTGGACGTGGAAAGGGAGGAAAAGGCCGCCAAGGACCAAAAAAACGTCATCGTATGGTGCTGAAGGACAATATTCAAGGAATCACCAAGCCAGCCATCCGCCGTCTCGCCAGAAAAGGAGGCGTCAAACGAATCTCTGAGCCAATCTACGAGGAAACCCGTGGAGTCCTGAAGGTGTTCCTTGAAAACGTCATCCGCGACGCCGTCAACTACTGCAAGCACGCCAAAAGAAAGACCGTCACCACCATGGACATCGTCTACGCTTTGAAACGCCAAGGAAGAACTCTGTACGGATTCGGAGGATAATTTTCTTCGCTTCCCTGCAACCAAACCAACCGAACCCAACGGCCCTCTTTAGGGCCACAAATGTCCTAAGAATCCTAAATATATTTTTGTGAATAAATATATGATTTTTGTTTTGTTTTTTTTTGTTTTTGTAATTTTGAATTCAAAGTGAGAAGACTCAGAATTACAGGGAAAAACAAAAAGTCTTCTCATCAGCCGCATGGGTTCTTAGGGTTTTAATTTAAGTGAAAGCGGTGCAAGCGCGCTCGACCGCACTTTCGCGGATCTTTAGGAGGTAGTTCAAAGTTACTATAGTTTTACATATGTTTTCTCATGGAATCTCTAATTACTTTCAGATCAAACCAGATTTAAAAGCAGTGGATGATTGATTTCGACAAAATTCAATTGTTGAAAACTCCCAAAGAACCGAAAAATGTGTTTTTATAAAAAATCAATTTTTATCAGTTATTTTCTTTATCAAATACTTCAGCTGAAGCTTCAGAATTGATCGAAAACAATCCGATTTTATGAAAAAATCACGAAAATCAAAGAAAATTTCTTGATTTTATTGCGATTTTGGCCTTCATAATATGCCGCGCAACTAATATGAATTAGATGAAAATTAAATTACCGCGCATTGCGGTGGAGCGCGCTTGCCTGAAATTAGCACGCTTAATATCAGTGCGGCCACATGGAAACTCCAGAAAAAAATAAGTTTTATATCCTTTATTATCTTCTCAAACCAAAAAAAGTCAAAGTCCAAATTTATTTCAAAACCAAATAATTACGAGTTAGCGTGAGCATTATTGAATCTGTTATGCCAGACGAAAAAATGAAAAGCACGTCGACAAGGAGTAAAATGAATTGTGGCCAGTAAACCATCGCTTCTTTCGATGTCAGCACCCTCAGAGCAGTCTAAAACTGGTCTATCACGGGCCGGACTTCCAATTGCGTAGTACCTGGAATTTCAAACGATTGAATGTTTTTATAATTTTTGATAGAAAACGGGAAAATGGGAGCTCTAGAGCATAACAGGTGGGAGAGACTGCAGTAATGTCTATGCCTTCTCTGCATGTGTCGTATTGCGGCATGCGTGGTGTAGTGGTTAACACTGTTGTTTTATGATTTTTCGGCGCGGGTTCGATTCCGATGGCCGTCAAAACTTTTTTTTCTTTTTTTTTCAACGCTGTAAAAACTCACATAGAATTACAGATGAAGTTCTGTGATCTTTTCTCCGGATCCCATGGCTTCGCATCGAATTCCTCCAGAATCTTCTGCTTATCAAAAGTCTCATCATTCCATTTTCTACCAATCGCAAATGCACACATTCTAGTGTTATTCCCATTCAACCATTGCCTTATGAACGCAATAATGTCCTCAGTATCAAGTGTAGAATGAACTAAAAACATGTAAATTCCATTCAAATTCAGAAGATGCTCTCGGGTGATCACGTGTTCGGCATGATAGAGTAACAGGTGATCAGTTTGGAATATTTTACAATTCGCACTGATTCCAGATGATAACTTTGGCAATATTTTTGCACAGAGTAATGGTTTCTCGAAATGATCGTATAATTCTGTCACTTTTTTCGAAGAAACAGTTTTTCCATTCAGCCGGATTTGTCGAACGCTTTTAAAACACGGCTCCGATATGAATTTTGGGACATCATCCACTTTATTCAAATCGATCATAATATAAGTGATTCCAGCTCTGACCAGATCCAGAATGTAGTTGAAAAACAGAGAAGCTTTGTCGTATCCAATAGAGCCCAAATAAATGTCACTTCTACGGGGTTGTTCCTGTTCTTCAATTTTGTATCTGAACATTAAAATTGTATTTCCATTTAAAGGAGGACAGAAGTCACAGATTTTTATTTTTGGTTCCGGTGGATTAGCACATTCTGAACATTTTTTTTTCTTAACGAAAATGTCGAAAATCGCTCGAAAAAGAGATATACAGCTTCAAAAAAAAAGAAATTTACTTCCGTGGCCGAAGTTTCTCCAGTGTTTAGAACGTCATAATCTACCGGAATCAAAAATTAAAAAAAATGAAAAAAAAACTGAATTAAGCAACTTACCGGCAGTTATAAGGGATGTCTCCAACTCGAGCACTAAATTTATCCAAACTTTTTCCTCTGGGAGGATGTTGAAAATCAACAACTAGAAAATTGGGATTTTTCGGAAAAAATACTCCGAAAAACATGCCTTCCTCCTTGTTTTCAAAACGTGCATCTTCGATTGCAAATCGCACTTTCTTGATTCGTTCTCTTGTTTTTTTCGAACAAAATGATAAAGAAACAAGGGGGACTGGATCCAAAAGTACAATTATGTGATCAAAAACTAGGACAGGGTATTTGAATAGTTTCATTCTGATTGAAATGATAGAATGTAGTCACGAAGAAGAGGTGTATGTAGGTCAATCAATCACTACACAGTGAGCGGACCATTAGGGGGGAAACGTGGTCTATTGAGGAAAGATGTGTGGGGGGAGGGTGACCTCTGTTTGAAGATGGTCCTAACCATAGTTGTGACGGCCAGGCCCTAAAGGCCCGCCAGTTACCGCGAAATTTGAATTTCATTTTTCAAAATCGAAAAATGAGCTGATTTTTGCCTATTTTGCGTGAATGTCAAAATATATTTTGCATGTCACGAGCAGTTTCAATATTTGAATCACGAAATAGCCAAAAAATTTGAGAAATTTGAAAATTTTGTGTTTATTTCCATAATTTTGGGGAAAATTTTGAGCGGGCCGGGCCCGAATTTTCACAAATACGGACCTAACGGTTGCATTACATGTATGAATCCGGAATCCAGATAGGATTTGAAGCTTTTGGAACTATGAATCGGAATATTAAGTTATACTCCAAACAATTGTAATATTGAACTTGACTTTTGTTTCCCTCGTTTCATAGTCAGAAAGAGGCTGCAAACTCGATTTGAAAATTTATTAGATATTTTGAAATAACAGATGGGAAAGAAAGAATTGGATATATACAGTACCGTGCAAAAGTATACGAACACCACCAGTTTTCAGTTGATTTTAGCTGACTTTGAGCATGCGCCACCCGGTCAGAAATTTTTCTAGGCCTTTAAAATTTTTTGTGCGCATCAAACATAGCTCGAACTTCATTTTTGTAGTTGACAACTTTTTTGTACCACCATTTTCCCGCCAGATACAGCTCGCTCAATGAAGAACTCCGAAAATCGTCAAGTTTTCTTCAGAAAACGGGCTATTTCTGAGGTAGTAGATTTGGACGAGCTCTATCTGTCGGGAAAGTGGAGGTACAAAAAAATTGTCAACTACGAAAATAAAGTTCGAGCTATGTTTGATAGGCAAAAAAATTTTGAGAGCCGTAGAAAAATTCCTCACCGTGTGGCGCATGCTCAAAGTCAGCTAAAATCAACTGAAAAATGGAAGTGTTCGTATACTTTTGCACGGTTGCACGGTATATATATATATGTGCGGAGGAACTACGCGAAGAAGTCTCAAGTGACAAGGGGTGCAATGTGAGCAGTTATACAAAAAAATTCTGGCTGGATAAAAAAAACAAGGTACAAGAAGAAAAGTTCAGACAAAAGAGATCTCATTCTGGAAATCTAGTGTGCCAAACCAAAAAATGAAAATCATATTTGTTATCTCCGAACAGAATCGTCGCCAGTAATCCATCACTTCTTTCGATATCACGTCCCTTTGAACAGTCAATCATTGGGAATTTCTTCATATGATTACGACTAAATCTGAAAAATGATAGGAATTTTGATCCGAAAATCCTTGACCGAAACTTACGAGGCCTTGAAAATGAAGTTCTGTGCTCTTTCAGCTTGATTCCATCGTTTCGTGTTGAACTCATCTAACACTCTCTCTATTTCAAATGGCGATAAAAAACCAGCAGTTATAACGGCTCCCTCCAAGTTTGGATAATTCCCATCCAACCAATGTTTTATGAATGCAACGATGTGCTCCTCCAGAAGCGATGAGCATTCCAAACTGATGTATTTTCCATTGAAGTTCAGAAGATGTTCAATCGATATGGAATCAGATGGATCCAGTGACAAGTTTTCGGATTGCAACAGTTTACTCGTTGGGCTGAGGGAATCCATAGTGCATTCGACAACTGTCTCCTGGAGGGGCTCATCGAAACGATCGTATAACTCTATCACGTTTTCCGCAGGAACATTTTCCCCTCTTAACATGATTTTTCGAACGTTTTTGAACCACGGCTCGGATAACAATCCGGTGTTCAATTTATTCAATTCAATCTCTATCGCATTGATTCCAGCTCTGACCAGATCCAAAATATAATTGATGAACAAGGAAGCTTTTTTGTATCCAATACGCCCCAAATATATAGTAGGCAGATTACTTCCTATTAGGTATCTGGAAACAAGGAATTCATGGGATTACATGAAATTGAATATGCGATACATTAATGACCCCGTCCGGCAAAAGAAAAAGCTAGGCCATAATAGCCAAAATGACGGCTTGGTCTAGCTTTTTCAACACGCCGGACAGCTTTATCAATAGAGCACGTAGTCATCAGGGTTGTGCGAAAATTTTTTCGGTTTCACGGACACTTTCGAAAAAATTTATTGCCGAAAATTTTTCGGAAAAATGGATTCGAAAAATTTTTTTGGAATCTGAAATTTTTTTCGAAAAATCGGTATTATGCCAATCGGTACAAAAGCAAGTGCTGGCTGAAGATCCGATTTTTGACGGCCGCGGTGTCTCGGCACGAAAACTACAGTATAAATTTAAAAGCTACAGTACGTGCGGTAGCAATTAGTTTTATACTGTAGTTTTCG